GTTTTGTGGCAAATAGTGTGACTGTGTTTTGTGTGCTGCATTCATAGAATGAGGAGTCATAGTCTTTCTTCATCACATCACATCAGAACCCAGACCAGCCAACAAAAGCTTACACAAACTGCTGCCACTGACACACTCACTCGCATTAATTCGTAAGCAACGCATACGAGTGAATATGTTGTCGGTCGTTTTGTCGTCTGTATCTGCATTTGTGTCTATGTTAGTTGTGTTTATTGCTTGCTACTTTTTACGACTAAATATACGAATGACGGACTGACTGACTACATGTATGCATGAGAAAGAAGTATGAGAAAGTGTACAGCCCAGTAGTTTTTCAAGGAGTCAGTATGCACAGTATGTCCAAAATGTTTAGTGACTCAATTCTAGTTCAGATCTACTTCAGTTCTAGTTCATTTCTAGCTCAGTTCTAGTTCTAGTTCAGTTCTAGTTCAGTTCTAGTTTAGTTCTAGTTTAGTTCTAGTTCAGTTCTAGTTCAGTTCTAGTTCAGTTCTAGTTCAGTTCTAGTTCAGTTCTAGTTCAGTTCTAGTTCAGTTCTAGTTCAGTTCTAGTCAGTTCTAGTCCAGTTCTAAGTTCTAGTTCAGTTCTAGTTCATTTCTAGTTCAGTTCTAGTTCAGTTCTAGTTCAGTCTAGTTCAGTTCTAGTTCATTCTAGTTCAGTTCTTAGTTCTAGTTCAGTTTAGTCATTCTAGTTCAGTTCTAGTTCAGTTATTCAGTTTCCTAGTTCAGTTCTAGTTCAAGTTCTAGTTCATTTCGTAGTTCAGTTTCTAGTTCAGTTCTAGTTAGTCTACTTCAGTTCAGTTCTAGTTCAGTTCTAGTTCAGTTCTAGTTCAGTTCTAGTTCAGTTCTAGTTCAGTTCTAGTTCAGTTCTAGTTCAGTTCTAGTTCAGTTCTAGTTCAGTTCTAGTTCAGTTCTAGTTCAGTTCTAGTTCAGTTCTAGTTCAGTTCTAGTTCAGTTCTAGTTCAGTTCTAGTTCAGTTCTAGTTCAGTTCTAGTTCAGTTCTAGTTCAGTTCTAGTTCAGTTCTAGTTCAGTTTAGTTCAGTTCTAGTTAAATTCTAGTTCAGTTCTGATTCAGGTCGAGTCCACGATTTGCCGGTTCTACATTGTTTCTATGTAGTACTCGCACATGATGATGATGAGGAGGGCTTTTTTATTTCAATGCCTTTAACTGTCCGTTCTTGTTTAAGTTTTGTTGCTTTTTGGTTTTTTTTTTTTATTTTAATATACAATTTTTTTGTTCTTTCATTTGTTCGTTTTGTTGGTTTTTTTCTGTAAATTGCGTCAGGAATTTCACAAGTTGAGTGGTATACCACTCAAACCAATATACAGTAGTTTGTAATGGCAGCATAAACCTCATATTATACTCGTACAACGTTCACAAGTACAAACTAAAAATGAATGGAGAGCTAAGCAGTTATCAAGAGCTCACAGCCAGCAAACCAAACCAACCATATAGCCAGTCAGCCAGCCATCTAGCTAGCAAGCAGGCACTCTGTTAGGCCATGCAGCAGTGATGTTTTGTTACTACAACGACTACTGCTGCTGATGATGATGATGATTTTGCAAAAGGCTCGTTTTTCTATATGGGGGAGATTCTTTATTTTAAAACAACATGGGTGTGTTCGTTCGTTTGTTCTATTGCTTTCCATACAGCCAGCCAGCTAGCGTCAATCGAATAATCAAAGTGGGGTAGAGAGAAGTTGTTGAAAATTACATCTTGGTTTTATTTTTCTTTCTTTCTTTTTTTTGATATTTTTGCTTTAACTATAGAAATGGCCAAATAGTTCCTGGTAGTAAGAAAGTATCCCTATATCAGCAAACATAGAGGTGTTTCAAATTACAATTATTTTTTTAAGTTAATTAAATTATAAAGAAAATTTTGGTTTGATAGTTCAAGGGGAATATGATGGAGTATGAAACAGCTAAGTTTGGAATCTACAGAAATAAAAGAATCAAGTATTTAAAAGAATTGCAGTTCAGTTCTATTTTATTTTTTTTAGTTCCAGTTAAGTTCTAGTTTAGTTTAGTTCCAGTTCAGTTCTAGTTCAATTCTAGTTCAGTTCTAGTTCAGTTCTAGTTCAGTTCTAGTTAAGTTCTAGTTCAGTCCTAGTTCAGTTCTAGTTCAGTTCTAGTTCAGTTCTAGTTCAGTTCTAGTTCAGTTCTAGTTCAGTTCTAGTTCAGTTCTAGTTCAGTTCTAGTTCAGTTCTAGTTCAGTTCTAGTTCAGTTCTAGTTCAGTTCTAGTTAAGTTCTAGTTCAGTCCTAGTTCAGTTCTAGTTCAGTTCTAGTTCAGTTCTAGTTCAGTTTTAGTTCAGTTCTAGTTCAGTTCTAATTCAGTTCTAATTCAGTACTAGTTCAGTTCTAGTTCAGGTCTAGTTCAGTTCTAGTTCAGTTCTAGTTCAGTTCTAGTTCAGTTCTAGTTCAGTTCTAGTTCAGTTCTAGTTCAGTTCTAGTTCAGTTCTAGTTCAGTTCTAGTTCAGCTCTAGTTCAGTTCTAGTTTAGTTCTAGTTCAGTTCTAGTTCAGTTCTAATTCAGTTCTAATTCAGTTCTAATTCAGTTCTAGTTCAGTTCTAGTTCAGTTCTAGTTCAGTTCTAATTCAGTTCTAGTTCAGTTCTAGTTCAGTTCTAGTTCAGTTCTAGTTAAGTTCTAGTTAAGTTCTAGTTTAGTTCTAGTTCAGTTTTAGTTCAGTTCTAGTTCAGTTCTAGTTCAGTTCTAGTTCAGTTCTAGTTCAGTTCTAATTTAGTTCAGTTCTAGTTCAGTTCTAGTTCAGTTCTAGTTCAGTTCTAGTTCAGTTCTAGTTAGTTCTAGTTCAGTTCTAGTTCAGTTCTAGTTCAGTTCTAGTTCAGTTCTAGTTCAGTTCTAGTTCAGTTCTAGTTCAGTTCTAGTTCAGTTCTAATTCAGTTCTAGTTCAGTTCCAGTTCAGTTCTAGTTCAGTTCTAGTTCAGTTCTAGTTCAGTTCTAGTTCAGTTCTAGTTCAGTTCTAGTTCAGTTCTAGTTCAGTTCTAGTTCAGTTCTAGTTCAGTTCTAGTTCAGTTCTAGTTCAGTTCTAGTTCAGTTCTAGTTCAGTTCTAGTTCAGTTCTAGTTCAGTTCTAGTTCAGTTCTAGTTCAGTTCTAGTTCAGTTCTAGTTCAGTTCTTGTTGAGTTCGGACAATCGTTAACCCCTTTTTATTGAGAGATCCACCACGCTATCACACTCACCTCTCTCATTAACCGCAATCGAGAATTATTTGACCACATTAAATTTTTTAAACATTCCAGCCACCTGTCTGTCTCAAATTGTCACAAATAATCTAAAATACAAAAACATCAGTTAGGAATTCCATTCCAAAAAAAACACTAATGGATTTTTGTTTTTAATGTTATTATTGTTGCGTTAAAGAATTGGAATGTTGTGAACTAAATTCAAAATCAATAATTCACAATAAAAACACACAAAAAAAAAAAAAAAAAAAAAAAAAAAAAAAAAAAAAACAAGGTAAAGGCAAAAATATACACTCTGACGTTTATTGTTATGGAAAGGAGAAAAAAGTGTTTCACTAATATATATTTTTTAATAAATAACTTACTATAGAGAACATATGGAAAAATTGTATGGTTAGTAATTTGGAGAAAGGGTTACTTTAGGAAGAGAGACTTTTTTAAGTCAATAATCCAACTCCCTCTATAAAAGCAATTTAAACTGGAGCATATGCCTAGGCCAGCAAAGCAAAAACCACATTAATAAAAAAGAACAATAACAAAAAGCAGCTATAAAATCAATATTGCCAAATCGTTTGTTTATTTTTTATTCTTCTGAGAAAAAATATCAATAAAGTCCTGTTTAATGGTTTGATTTGTTGTTGTATGTGTTCAGATACAGAATATTGAGTAATTCTTGTGGATATCTGTCTATAGTGTCTTTAAATAGGCAGTTCTAGTTCAAATCTAATTCAGTTCTAGTTTAGTTCTAGTTCAGTTCAAGTTCAGTTCAAGTTCAGTTCAAGTTCAGTTCAAGTTCAGTTCAAGTTCAGTTCAAGTTCAGTTCTAGTTCATTTCTAGTTCAGTTCTAGTTCAGTTCTATTCCAGTTCTAGTTCAGTTCTAGTTCAGTTCTAGCTCAGTTCTAGTTCAGTTCTAGTTCAGTTCTAGTTAAGTTGTAGTTCAGTTCTAGTTCAGTTCTAGTTCAGTTCTAGTTCAGTTCTAGTTCAGTTCTAGTTCAGTTCTAGTTCAGTTCTAGTTCAGTTCTAGTTCAGTTCTAGTTCAGTTCAGTTCTAGTTCAGTTCTAGTTCAGTTCTAGTTCAGTTCTAGTTAGTTCTAGTTCAGTTCTAGTTCAGTTCTAGTTCAGTTGTAGTTCAGTACTAGTTCAGTTGTAGTTCAGTTGTAGTTCAGTTGTAGTTCAGTTGTAGTTCAGTTCTAGTTCAGTTCTAGTTCAGTTCTAGTTCGGTTCTAGTTCAGTTCTAGTTTAGTTCTAGTTCATTTCCAGTTCAGTTCTAGTTCAGTTCTAGTTCAGTTCTAGTTCAGTTCTAGTTCAGTTCTAGTTCAGTTCTAGTTCAGTTCTAGTTCAGTTCTAGTTCAGTTCTAGTTCAGTTCTAGTTCAGTTCTAGTTCAGTTCTAGTTCAGTTCTAGTTCAGTTCTAGTTCAGTTCTAGTTCAGTTCTAGTTCAGTTCTAGTTCAGTTCTAGTTCAGTTCTAGTTCAGTTCTAGTTCAGATCTAGTTCAGTTCTAGTTCAGTTCTAGTTCCGTTCTAGTTCAGATTTAGTTCAGTTCTAGTTGAATTCTAGCTCAGTTCTATGGTGCAGATTTTCCATCTCTGCAAGTGAATATGATTGTGTTTGAGAGTTATATTAAAGGTGAATTTTTCTTTTATTTTGATCAATCAATGTCAATCAATGATTAAGATAAAGAAAGAAAAACACACAAAGAGAGCTTTCGACACGAGAGCGAGAGTATTTTATAAAAAGGAGTTAATTAGTCCAACTGCTCACATAAATTGTAAAATTTTGTTACGTTTTCTTGAAAATGACCGGTGTAATATTTTAATTTTAAATAATTATTAAGTTTTCTTTAAATGTTCTCTGCTTGTCTGGATTAAATTGTATTTAGTTTTTTTTATTATTATTACACGTGTTTTTATTACATTTATTGTATTTTTTGTTTTTATAAATTATTTCACTTTGTTTTTTTCTTCACGTTTTGTAATTTTTGTTTTAAGTTCACTTCCAACGCTGATTGCAGTCAGCTTACAACTGAAATTGAAAATTCAGCAAAGCATTGTGAAGCGCATACAAAGCTAAAAGCAATGCTGGCGCTGGTTGGTTGGTGTTGGCTGCTTGGTTTGGTGCTCTGGTGATATACTCTGCTGTTTGTTGTTGACGATGGCAATGGCGATGATGATGATGATGATGAAAAACTCAAAAACACACAATAGCAATAACAACAAAACCATCAGCAAAAAAAACGTAAAATAAACGTATTAAAAACGCTTTTTACTTTATACTCGACGACTCACCATGATTGTATGCAATGTGTGTACAAAATTCTGTATGTTTTATTTTTTTCCTACTGCCACAGCGTTTTACTGCTCTCTGCTGCTGCTACTATATTGCTAACGACACACAGTTGTTGTGAGTTGGCCACTACAGCAACAACAACACCAACGACGACAAAAAGTTCTTATATTTCTTTTGTTATTGTTGTTATTTTCACATGTTCTGTGTGTGCTCTTGAATAGAGTGTAGAGTAGTTAGTTGTTTTTGTTTGGATTTTTTTGTTGTAGTAGCCAGCCAGCCAGTGTGTTTGGGGAGTTTGTTTGATTGTGCTCTGTTTGACTCTCCTGCCTGCCTTCCTTTCCGATTGCTTTTTGTGTAACTAACTGAATGCCTGCCTGACAGCCAGCCTTCCTGCCTGTGTGTGTATGTATGTGAGTTTTTGTGGCTGACTGTTTTGCTTGTCTGAATGATTGCCTTGTGTTGCCTCGCCTGCCTGCTTGGCTGCCTAACTAAAGTTTGGTTGTATAAATGTATGTATGTATGTGTGCCTGCCACAGCTTGTGGGCAGACAGACAGACATATTAAACGCGCGGCACATGGGCTTTTTCTGTGTGCAAAAACCGAACGAATGAATGTTTTTTTCACAACAACAAAAACACTGAAACAGTGGGATGAACACAAAATTGATTTGAACAGATTAGTAATAGCTCAATTTGCATTCCTAAAGATTCTAAGAACCCCAAACAGAAATATAACTGATCGAGAAGTAAACTAGAACTAAACTAGAACTGAGCTAGAACTAAACTGAACTAGAACTGAACTAGAACTGAACTAGAACTGAACTAGAACTGAACTAGAACTGAACCAGAACTGAACTAGAACTGACTAGAACTGAACTAGAACTGAACTAGAACTGAGCAAGAACTGAACTAGAACTGAACTAGAACTGAACTAGAACTGACCTAGAACTGAACTAGAACTGAAATGAACGGAAGAGAACTGAACTAGAACTGAACTAGAAACTGAACACGGAACTGAACTGAACTGAAACGGAACTGAACTGGAACTAGAACTACAACTGAACTAGAACTGAACTAGAACTGAACTAGAACTGAACTAGACTGAACTAGAACTAAAAACTGGAACTGAAACTGAACTAGAACTGAACTAGAACTGAACTAGAACTGAACTAGAACTGGACTAGAACTGAACTAGACTGAACTAGAACTGAACTAGAACTGAACTAGAGCTGAACTAGAACTGAACTAGAACTGAACTAGAACTGGACTAGAACTGAACTAGAACTGAACTAGAAACTGAACTAGAACTGAACTAGAACTGCACTAGAACTGAACTAGAACTGAACTAGAACTGAACTAGAACTGAACTAGAACTGAACTAGAACTGAACTTGAACTGAACTAGAACTGAACTAGAACTGAACTAGAACTGAACTAGAACTGAACTAGAACTGAACTAGAACTGAACTAGAACTGAACTAGAAACTGAACTAGAACTGAACTAGAACTGAACTAGAACTGAATTAGAACTAGAACTGAACTAGAACAGAACTAGAACTGAACTAGAACTGAACTAGAACTGAACTAGAACTGAACTAGAACTGAACTAGAACTGAACTAGAACTGAACTAGAACTGAACTAGAACTGAACTAGAACTGAACTAGAACTGAACTAGAACTGAACTAGAACTGAACTAGAACTGAACTAGAACTGAACTAGAACTGAACTAGAACTGAACTAGAACTGAACTAGAACTGAACTAGAACTGAACTAGAACTGAAACTAGAACTGAACTAGAACTAACTAGAACTGAACTAGAACTGAACTAGAACTGAACTAGAACTGAACTAGAACTGAACTAGAACTGAACTAGAACTGAACTAGAACTGAACTAGAACTGAACTAGAACTGAACTAGAACTGAACTAGAACTGAACTAGAACTGAACTAGAACTAGAACTGAACTAGCACTGAAATAGAACTGAACTGGAAATGAACTAGAATTAAACTAGAACTGAACTAGAACTGAACTAGAACTGGACTAGAACTGAACTAGAACTGAACTAGAACAGAACTAGAACAGAACTAGAACAGAAACTAGATCAGAACTATAACAGAACTAGAACAGAACTAGAACAGAACTAGAACAGAACTAGAACAGAACTAGAACAGAACTAGAACAGAACTAGAACAGAACTAGAACAGAACTAGAACAGAACTAGAACAGAATTAAAACAGAACTATAACAGAACTAGAACAGAACTAGAACTAGAACAGAACTAGAACAGAACTAGAACAGAACTAGAACAGAACTAGAACAGAACTAGAACAGAACAGAACTACTAGAACTAGAACAGAACTGGAACAGAACTGGAACAGAACTAGAACAGAACTAGAACAGAACTAGAACAGAACTAGAACGGAACTAGAACGGATCTAGAACGGAACTAGAACAGAACTAGAACAGAATTAAAACAGAACTAGAACAGAACTAGAACAGAACTAGAACAGAACTAGAACTAGAACAGAACTAGAACAGAACTAGAACAGAACTAGAACAGAACTAGAACAGAACTAGAACAGAACTAGAACAGAACTAGAACAGAACTAGAACAGAACTAGAACAGAACTAGAACAGAACTAGAACAGAACTAGAACAGAACTAGAACAGAACTAGAACAGAACTAGAACAGAACTAGAACAGAACTAGAACAGAACTAGAACAGAACTAGAACAGAACTAGAACAGAACTAGAACAGAACTAGAACAGAACTAGAACATAACTAGAACAGAACTTGTACAGAACTGGAACAGAACTAGAACTGAACTAGAACTGAACTGGAAATGAACTAAAATTAAACTAGAACTGAACTAGAACTAAACTAGAACTGAACTAGAACTGAACCAGATCTGAACTAGAACTCCTTTACTTTTAGATTGATAACGGTAATTGTAAGCCGAAGGAGATATACAAACTAGAACTGAACTTGTTTTAACCCACTGTCCCCACAGCATAAATACAAAACGTTCTCGTTTATTATAAAACTAGAGTACGTGTGTGTCTCGTAACGTCGTATCGTATAGATGGATGGATGGTTTGTTAGTTGGATGGCTGGCTGGCTGTTTTGCTTGCTTGTTGGCTGGCTGACTGGCATGGTTCAGTTCGGTACGATTTGGTTTAGTTCAGTTTGGGTTACAGGGAATGATGTCTGGTGGTTTCATTTGTTAGGTAGAATACAACAACACAAAAGGCAGGGATGATTGGATGTGACTGTGAAAAGTATACTCGTGCTAATGCTTGTGTTATGGAAGTGTATGTGTGCACAAGCCTTAATATTGCTGGTTGTAGCTTTGGCAAAGCATAACAATTCTTGAGCAGGAGTATGATGATGATGAGGTTGATGATATAGTTGTTGTTATTGCTGCTGCTGTTATGGCACTAGAACAGATCCATTATATTGTATGAAAAAAGTAGGGACGTAAAAAGCTTATACTCGACACACAGGGTTGATAGAACATGAGCTGGTAACAAAGCAACAACAACAAACTAAAAGCAATCATGTTTTTGTGCCTGCTTGCCTGACAACCATTTCTTTTAGATTTTTTTTTTTTTTTGTTTTTCATTACGTTTTGCAGTTGAAACCCCAAAAAACACAGATTGCAAACGACAGCATTTGCCAGCAAAATATACATTCAGAATAAGTATATAAAGCGCTCTTAAATACTATATCCACATACATACACTAGCCTGACTCTAGGTCGCCAACAAAAAAACTCAGATCTCAGAAAAAAGAAAACAGTTTCAAAAAGAATTACGTTCTAGGCAAAGAGCAGAGCAAGAGTACTAAGCTTGCTAAAGAAACAATTGTGAAGAAAAAAAAACTACAGGATAATTGTTGAAAAATGAAAAATTCTAAAAGCTGATAGAAATGCAAACATCACAAAGACAATCATTATCATCATCATCATCTACATTATTTTCTTCGTCATCGTCATAATCTTCATTATAATTTTCATTTTTAGTATTCACTGCTAGTACATCATTTCATCAACCTCATTTGTACGAGTAGTTTTCCATAAAGGCAAAACAATACTACAAAGCTTAGAAGGACTTGGTGAAGAGATGTTGAAACTTTTTGACAGGAAATAGCAACAGCAGCACCGGCAGCAGCAGCAAGAGAAGTCGGAAGGGGAGTACCAAACACAACAATTGTGTAGAAGTGTACGACGAACGACTTAATGCTGGTGTTTCTTTTATTTTTGTTTGGAGTAGGAGAGGAGTGTGGAAATGCAGTCATGGTGTCGTCATGACACACTAGTTACAAAAAAGTACAACAATACAACATATACACTCGCATATATGGATAGAAAACCAAACATATTTAAGTGAAATAAACGAGATAGGTTGGAAAATTAAGGAAATTTTCTTAGTTTCGTCAAAGATCGGATCTAGTTCAGTTCAGGTTCTGTTCTATTTGAGTAATAATTCTGTTCTATTTCTGTTCCAATTCTCATCTAGTTCTATTTTAATTCTGCAGAATTATTTCTAGTTTTGTTATAGTTCTGTTCTAGTTCTATTCTAATTCTGTCCTAGTTCTGTTCTAGTTCTGTTCTAGTTCTGTTCTAGTTCTGTTCTAGTTCTGTTCTAGTTCTGTTCTAGTTCTGTTCTAGTTCTAGTTCTGTTCTAGTTCTGTTCTAGTTCTGTTCTAGTTCTGTTCTAGTTCTGTTCTAGTTCTGTTCTAGTTCTGTTCTGTTCTAGTTCTGTTCTAGTTCTGTTCTAGTTCTGTTCTAGTTCTGCTCTAGTTCTGTTCTAGTTCTATTCTAGTTCTAGTTCTGTTCTAGTTCTGTTCTGTTCTAGTTCTGTTCTAGTTCTGTTCTAGTTCTGTTCTAGTTCTGTTCTAGTTCTGTTCTAGTTCTGTTCTAGTTCTGTTCTAGTTCTGTTCTAGTTCTGTTCTAGTTCTGTTCTAGTTCTGTTCTAGTTCTGTTCTGTTCTGTTCTAGTTCTGTTCTAGTTCTGTTCTAGTTCTGTTCTAGTTCTGTTCTAGTTCTGTTCTAGTTTTAGTTCTGTTCTAGTTCTGTTCTAGTTCTGTTCTAGTTCTGTTCTGTTCTAGTTCTGTTCTAGTTCTGTTCTAGTTCTGTTCTAGTTCTGTTCTAGTTCTGTTCTAGTTCTGTTCTAGTTCTGTTCTAGTTCTGTTCTAGTTCTGTTCTAGTTCTGTTCTAGTTCTGTTCTAGTTCTGTTCTAGTTCTGTTCTAGTTCTGTTCTAGTTCTGTTCTAGTTCTGTTCTAGTTCTGTTCTAGTTCTGTTCTAGTTCTGTTCTAGTTCTGTTCTAGTTCTGTTCTAGTTCTGTTCTAGTTCTGTTCTAGTACTGTTCTAGTTCTGTTCTAGTTCTGTTCTAGTTCTGTTCTAGTTCTGTTCTAGTTCTGTTCTAGTTCTGTTCTAGTTCTGTTCTAGTTCTGTTCTAGTTCTGTTCTAGTTCTGTTCTAGTTCTGTTCTGTTCTGTTCTGTTCTGTTCTAGTTCTGTTCTAGTTCTGTTCTAGTTCTGTTCTAGTTCTGTTCTAGTTCTGTTCTAGTTCTGTTCTAGTTCTGTTCTAGTTCTGTTCTAGTTCTGTTCTAGTT